GCTTTCTAGTTTGTCCATGAACAGGATGGCCAGTAAACCTGAGATGTTAGAACCCATGGGTAGGCCTTCACTTTGGCGAAAAACTCGATCTCTGAAGGAGAAGTACATGTTGTTTAGCGTGACTTGGAGTAGATCTGAGATGTCTTGTTTGGAGAGGTGGAGTTTTGTGTTCCGGATTCCATCTGTAGCGTTGGTGATGGCTTCTTGTATTGGTATTGTGGTGTATAGGGATACCACATCGAGGCTGCATGGATATGATAGCGCTTTGTTTGTGGCGAGATCGCTGGCTTGGATACATCTAATGACTTCGAGACTGCTTTCTAAACGGGCTGGGACATTTTTTAACGTCGGTTTGAGGGCGTTGGCAAGAAGCCATGAAATGCGTTGGGTGGGTCCATTGATGTTGGATACGATAGGTCGTATTTTAATATCGGAGCCTGCTTTGTGGGTCTTGACTAGATGGTAGAATCTGAGCAGGTCCGTGTTTGAGGCAAGGAAGCTTTTTTGGACAAAGGGAGAAATTATTTTGTCGGCAGATCTTCTTGTAAGCTATGTTAACATTATTTTCGACTGTCTTGGCTCACATGCGGGGTCTTTTTCGGTAGGTGTTGGCATCACTGAGGTGATCAAGGGCGACTTGGGTGTATATATGTGTCTTGTTGTATTACGCAGAACTCGGTGCCTTTATCGCTGGGGAGGCGCACGTAGTTCTTCTCTTTGAGTTCTTTAATAGTTTTCCTGTCTGTGCCATCGATGCTCGACCATTTCTTTTGGGGTTGTAGTGCTTTGAGAGTGAGCTGGAGTTTATGATGAATTCTCTGTAGCTTTTTTTCAAGTTCGTCGTTTTGGACTGAGGTTTGTAGGTGTGTCGGGTTTGTGGATAGGTGAGAAAATCTGACTTTTAGGGGTTTGACTCACGGTAGTGTTTCCATCGTATTTGGTTTGCTAGTCGATAGAATGCAATATTGATGCCCGTGACTGTGTGTTAATTTACTCCAGGACAGAGGCTGAACTTGGGGCCTTTGGATAGGAGGTTGATTTCTTGAGTGTCAAGGTTACAAGTGAGGTCGTTGACGAGCTTTGTTTCGTTTGGGGAATTTGTTTGTGTCAACGTTGTTCTCGCAGTTAGAAGCTGTGTTTATTTGGTCAGATGGGTTATCTTCTGAGGTGGAGTTACTAGTGTTATCGTTTCTGAAGTTGTCCAATAGTTTAAGAACCTTTTGCTGTGTAGATTGCTGGCGGTGTTATATGCCAGATATCTTTGAGAGCGGACTTGGGATGCTGCCTCGGGTGAGAACTGCGATGTTATCTTTTCATTGAGTTGTTGTTGTTTGTGTTGTTTAATGGCGATAATTATAACTTTCCGAAGTGCTCTCTTGCTTTCGTTCAGAACGAAGCGTTTGGTTCTCAGCTTAGATTTCGCAGTGATGGATATAATCCCGTAATCATACGGTAGTTTAAAGTTCGTGATGGTCTTTGGGTAGACGTTGAGTTTGGAGCGTTGGCGGAGGAATGAGAGTCGTTGTGCTGGCGGTCAAGGACTCCCTGTTGCGGAATATTTTCTTCACGAGGACGAATTCGTGTGTAAAAGAGGTGACTATGTATGAAAGCTGTAGAAATAAACTAAGAGTGGGACATTATTAAGGCTCTCATGATGGACCTTCTAACTGAAACAAAGGACCTATAAAAGCGTTATTTCTACAGCTTTCATACATAGTCACATCTTTTACACATTTCGCCACACACTCTTTTTACATATACATATAGCGCTACCGGAATATTTTGTTATCCCTGATGATGCCGTTGATCGGCGAAAGCTCGGATTTTTAAAACATTTTACTTCTTACAGCAGTGGGAGACTTCATTCGATTAATTTGTATATATTTTAACAATGCTGCTGAAAGACAGCATGAACAGATAATTGCAAAAGAGACTACGGTGGAACCCCTATAATACGACCACCAACGGGTCATAGAAATCTATCCGTATTGACGGGAGTAAAGCATATCACCCACTAACATATCTCTAACTTGCACTTCACACTCGCGCTCTTTTACTTCACCGATTAACGCAGTCCGACCAAACAGAAGAAAAAACAAACAAACTGACTAACAAACGGCCGCCACGAACAGGTTGACGGCCAAGAGAACAGTTACATAATTATTCACAGGTTGATCCGTTTTGAATAATCAAACATATATATAAATAGCACAGTTTCATTCAATCCAATCAGTAGCTAAAACTTATTTGCAACAACATGTCGAAGCGTGCGAGACATCAGCCGGGCTTTTACGCAACATTATTGAATGATGTCCGCCATTGTGGCTTCAATTCTAAATACCGACCGAAGGTAAAGCCTACTGTTATGGGCGTTTACAAAGTTAAACTCATTGTAGCAAAACAAGTCCAAGGAGGCAGATCAGAGTACTTCATAATATAGATCGATTTCTATAGCGCATTTCCATATAAATGCTCTAATGCGCTTTACAACACTGTGCGGGGGACTTCTCCAGACTGCCGGCGGCAGTTTACAATTAATAAAGGAGAAATTTTACAGATGCCCCCTTCCCCCATTCCCAGTAAACAGGCCAGACCACCTCACAGTAATCTCGTCATGTGGGTTCTTTAACGTCCCCTGCCTAAATTATCTAGATAGGTGCAGGAGACGGGACCTCCGGCTTTACCTCCTATCCGAGAAGACGAAGCAATGTGAGTGAAGCGTCTTGCTTAAGGACACAACGTCAAGCCCCAGCCAGGACTTGAACTTGGGCCATCTGACCTAGAGTCCAGCGCACTGACCACTGGACTACTCACGCCTCACAATAGCAAAGCTACTCACTTCATTCAATAGCAAAGCTACTCCCCGAGTGACAATACGTGGGAACCAGCCGAGCACTTATCCGAAGAACTCATCACTACCTTCGAGAACAGATCTGTCGATCCATTTCGCGCCGATGAACGCGGAGAGAGACTAGCTCTTTTGTTTGAGAAGGGTTTAAAATCGCCCCTTGTATGCAACGAAACAATCACGATACGGCACGATGTACAAGCGCTCTTTCCTGGTTTGCCATCAGACCTCCGTGGGTCTCCGTATCTCGCTAGTGAAGGGGAACTGATAGCAGCAGGACTTGAGTGGTCCTTATCTGAAGAGGTGTTTAATAGTAACAGGCGGCGGATGCCGCGTCGACGCTCCAGTCACCTTGAAGCTGTTTCTTGGCAGGTCACTTTCCTTCGTAAAAAACAAGGCCGCAAAACAGCTCCCCGCCCGGTTGAGAAAGTTCAGACCAAGTTTACGAAGAGTTATTTTGCCGGACGCATCCAGTGATCCAAATGCTGCTTTTTCGAAAAAGGCTTCTTTAGAGGCCACCAAATGGAATAAAAGGTTATCAGCAACAGTGGTATTCATTCATAGCTACACATTTATTTATTGATAAGTCGAGACAGCTTTTCCAGATAACAAATTTATGTCATCATGGGAGCCGCGAAAAAAATTGTAAAAATTAAATATGTCTGTGAACCTACGGAAAAAAGACCACAGTCCAATTGTTTTCTCCGAATAAATTATTCTGATGTTGCGGGCAGATACGTCAGAAATTCATCATGCCGCAACTTTGCAATTGGGCTCAATTGCAGACTCGAGAGAGCGGCCGAGATCGACGGAATCGCACCTACGATAGCAGCAACTATTATTATTGCTCATTTTGCATGAAATACGTTTTTTGCGAATGCTAAACACAAAATAGTAATTTACCGGTATTCTGGTTCTCCAGAATTTCCTGGACAGCTGTCTGAAAGGCCACAAACTAAAGTGCCGGCAACATCATAAAGTCCCTGTTTAAAGTTGACAGTTCCGGAAATGACCACTAGAACAATAAACTTCAATTTTTTCTCTTTTAAGAGCATAAAATGAAATGAAAAATGAAAAATCCACAAGATACTTATCATCTCTCAAGGGGATACATTTGTTGGGCGACCTAAAATCAGGGGAGATTAATAAGATTTTTTCTAAATTCACGCCGTTTGCGAGTTTTAAAACGCGACATGTGAGAATTCTGTTTGAGAAATTGCTATGAAATAATGACTTGTTCTTCATGTTCATTAAAATAGATATGAATAAATTATACTGTCCCTCTTTTCGTATGGCCGTTTAACTCTTTCTTTCTCTCTTAGCTCCACTTGCCTTTTCTCCACCAACATCAGGTTTGTTGCAGCATCTCATCTGTTGATTTTACGGTGGAAATAGCGCGGCAAATCATCATTCTTCTTCTCAACACCTGTTATTAAATGTCATGTTACTTTTCTTAATTGCAGGTTTGGCTTCGTACAACTTCCACAAACAATGCCAAATAATAAATTTATCTTGAGTATTGTTACAATAGATCTATAGAATAAAGTAAAGATACCTACCTTGGCCACTAAACATTTTAAGGCTTCCATAGTTCCGCAGCATTACTGGCACATGGTACACCAAGCTGTGTATGGTATGATGAAATATTGGTTTAAGTTTAATATTAAGTGGCGCAAGGTGAAACAAGCTAGTTCGTATTCCAATGTAGCTAAAAGATGCAATTTGTGTTTGTGGGAAAAATATTTCATCATTTGTAAACCGCAAATGGTAAGTTTAAACAAAAGAAATGAGCTGACATCAGGTTGCAGACATGTCAGGAAATTCCTGTTAAAGAACGTAACGTTGCGATAGCGCGTGCAGTATGTTGCGCGCGCACGAACACATT